TAGATACTGAGCTGTTGTAAATAATTCAAAAAACCGCACCTAAGCTGACTTTCGTAATCACAAAGATGGCGCGTGGCTAGAGACTAGATGAAACCAGCATATTACCGTTGTCAAAATGAAATAATCGGGGATGTAAAGTTGCCTCAAATGTTTAGGGCTTGACAACGCTTTTGTGAGTAGGAGCTGCACGAATGAAGGATGCTAACACAGTCAAATCAGAATTCAAGAAAGTATGAGTCTGAAAATTTATTTGGATGGTCGTTGATATGGTGAAATATATATTTGTAAAAGATGCATAGCCCGACATATCCACCCCTGTTCCTGTATGGTTTCCTAAACTATGGTCTTTGGCTGGAATATGTTGACGAGGTCAACATCAGTTTCGAAAACTTACAGAATTATCTACTTTGGGGATTTATTTACAGTTATAGGTGAATCGATCACAGTTTTTGAATTATCAAATGATAAATTTGCGCCTGAAATATCCTCATAATTATTAACTTCCAAAACAGAGTTTTCAATGACATTTGAAAAATCTACAAGTAAGAACGAATCGCCTGTCAGTGGGCTATCGACTTTCAATCTAATCTTCTAGGAGTGTAACTCGTTGTATCAACATGTGACATAAGCTCCATCTACTGACTCATTCAAAGAAAGTTGGATCAACTGAGCGACCACACTGGCTGAACCAGTGTCGGCCACCCAGCCTGCTTCCATTTCCAAACTGAAACTAAAACTGGACCTGGAAATCGTATTCTTATTCTTTTTGTGAACCTGCATTTGACGTTACAATGGTCTGAAACTACCAGTTTATATGATTCAGGCATCCACAACTAAATGGTTCAAATGGTTGTGGACGGAATAGAATAAGCTTTCGCTTCACAGGCTTCCATGTCTTGTAGAAGGGGACCACCAAGTCCTCCAGGCAGGAACCTAGGTATGTTAGCAATAAAAGAGGAAAAAGAAATTGGTAAATAATAGCATGATGCTGTCCTTGGTCCTTAAGAATAGGTCAAGTTACCTCTTAAAGGACTCCTGGGAAGTCGATTGAACTAGCTCGGCCGGCAGCGAATTCCAGCATTTGACAACTCTTAAGGAGTAGAAGTTGTATCTACAGTCCGTTCTGCTATGTTGTGTCTCCAGTTTCTGGGTGTTACCTCTTAGGTTAGTGTTCGAACTAAGCTTAAGTAGGTGTTTAAGAGGATGTCCAGAAGTGTTGAGAATACTATAAGCCATTGATAGATCACCTCTAAGACGCCTACACTCTAATGGGTAAAGGTCTAGTGAATGAAGGCGCTCCTCGTAAGGCTTAAATTTGAGTCCTCGAACTGATTTCGTGGCTCGCCGTTGGATACGCTCTAAAGTATCCTTATCCTTTTGGAGTGAGGGGGAAATACTATGTTTACGTACTCTAAATGTGAAAGGATAAAACTATTGAAGATTATACGGAAAGTTCTTCCGTCAAACTGACCAAAAGTGCGCTTCAATGTTACCAGTGCAAGGTTTGCTCGGAAGGCATTTTTGTCACAGTTAGCGTAAGACTTTAAATCGTAGGGCACCAGGACTCCTAAATCTTTTTCGACTTGGGATACTACTAGAGAGTGGGTGCATAAGTTATATCTGTAGTCTGCGACATGTCGCAGATGGACTACTTTACACTTTGAAGTGTTAAAGGTAAGTCCATTATAATCTACCCAACTTTGTAGTCGAGTCAGATCCTCTTGAAGTGCCTGTATATCGTCTTGGTTGCGTATCTCTCTCCAAAGCTTCACGTAATCGGCAAAAAGTAACACTAACACCATTGGATGCCGGCTCAGTGGTCTAATGGTTAAGTGCTCAGGCGCGAAGCCAGTAGGTCCTGGGTTCGAATCCCGCGGGGTGCGGGATCGTGGATGCGCACTGCTGAGGAGTCCCATACTAGGACGAAACGCCGTCCAGTGCTTCCAGGTTTCCAACGGTGGTCTAACATCAATTAATTCATGATCTCAAACAAAAACTTCAAAATCTCCACAACCCTCATACTGAAAAAGTAATAAGTCTGACGTTACTTGTTGAGAAAGATCATTTATGTAGATCAAGGAGAGAAGAGGTCCTAGTACTGAGCCCTGGAGAACCCCACTAGGACATTCCATAACCTGAGATAAAGTGAAGTTAACTAGTAAGCCAATCGATTAGAGGTTGTCTGATACCTAGTCGTTTGAGCTTATTGATAAGACATATATGGTTAACCTTATCAGAATCCTTTGAGAAATCTAGGTAGATGATGTCAACCTTTCCCTTGTGATCAAGGATGCTTGTCCATCTGTCCACCGCAGTCAGCAAGTTGGTTATACAAGACTAGCCCTTCCTGAAACCATGCTAATGGGATGCGAAGAAATTTAGGGAAAGTAGATAGTCGTATAAACCGTAGCATATCAGGGACTCCATGAGTTTTGAAAGTAATGACAGAAGAGCCACCGGCCAATAACTTGAAGGTTCATTGCGTCGACCTCCTTTTAAAATTGGTGTGATGTGAGCCAACTTCCAATTTTCCGGTAGTTTGCCTCGACTTAGCGAGTGTGAGAACACCACGCTAAGTGGCATTGCCAAAATTGAGGCTGCTTCCCTCAGTATGGGAGACTGGACCATAACCGGGCCAGGAGAAGTGTCTAGTCTTAAGTGCTGCAATTTCCGGAACACCAAGTCAGCGCTTAGTTTCACTTCGAAAAGTCCTATGGAATCGCAGATGAAACTGTCATCAGTAAAGTTAGTGTTGGTCGGTTGAAATGTCTGAGAGTAGTGTTCAGCCAGGAGGTTAGCGGCGTCGCCATCGTTGTTGGTCGGGCCGTTAAGATCTACTAGTTGAGAAACTCCAGTTTTGGCCAGGATTGAGAGGTTGTCGACTAGAAATTCTTCGTTTGTGAATACACAGTCTAAGCGCGATGGTGTCTGACTGTCTCTCCAACGAGTTGCCGACCTCACATTTTCATATAAGCCCAAGTCGTCGATGAGGTTGAAGAACCGAGCCTCAATCGAGTTATCGCCTCCAGTATACGTGTGATCCACGAAGTTGACTCTAGGGAGATTAAAGTCCCCTAGAATCAGGATGTGTGTGAAACCGAGACGAGTAGAACGGGATAGTCCTTCCAGCATACGACTATCGTACTCGATGTCGGCAGTTGGCTTCCTGTAAATGACTCCGATTCGACACCTCGAAGTAGCAGACTATCTTTGAGAGCCCCATATGGATTCCTGAAGATTGTTAAACTCGAGGTTATGAACTTGATGCACCTCCAAGCAAGAACATATGTATAGAGCTACTCCACCCCCAATTCCTGATTTTCTGTTGTTGCGGAACAAAGACATGCCAGGTAATGCTAACTCTTGGTCCGAGAGCTAAGAAGATATATCAGATATCCGATTTCAGCATGTGACTGGCTAGGAAAAGGTCCCCTACATCGGTAGCATTCTTAAGTGTTACACGAAGTAGCCTCGGGTGATTTACATGCTTAGAATCCTTTCCTCGAGTGAGCCGGGTGACCGTCAAAGGCTCTATTCTGGGAAGTTTGCGCTTCTCGTTCAGTTCACCCCAGAGCATCCTATCATTTTGTCCTAAGGAATGAGAAGACGGTCAGGATTGTCAATGAGATTCATGTTTATGAGAGAATCGTCACGAACTGTTGTTGATTTACCAGGTTTCCCGATGGGTTCAGGTTTACTACCTTGTTGTTTGGAGGTCAAGGCACGTTTTTGAATTTTGGGCTCTTAGATGTTCGGACGAACATTCTTGGGGGGCAGACTGTGCTACCAAATCACCAGTTGTTTTCCGTACAACAACACTTGAGATGCTCAGCTTAGGCGGTGACACCTGGTTCTTTTGGGCTCCGCTAACGTGGGTCAAATCACCTACAGGGTTTTGGGGAACCACTGTTGTGTTCAGGGACCCTGAGCTGGGAGACCCGAATTTACCTAGGGAGTCTAATACCGTCGACGTAATGATGGTGCTGAGGTTCATCATTAGTGCTTATGGATTCTCCATCGATGGTATACCTGTCGACATCCCTAATCTTGTGCTCATTGCGCGGTCTTGTTTGTTCACCCGTTTTTTACTGTCGTTATCCAAGTTCGCTGATAAATTGTTGCGCAGACCTGTCAGTAGGACGATGATGTTACTCAGCAAAACTACAGCGTCCGTGCTGCGCGTGACACTATCCACTTTTGGTCCGACTTGCTGAGTTTGTTGTAAGCAGTTGCCGTCAGATCTGTGCACGCTTCGTGGAACCAACCTTTGTAGTTGTCGCACTGCATGCCAGTTGTAACAGCGAAACGGCATCCCGGACGTTTGTATGAGTTTTTCATGACTATGTTGAAGCAAACTATGTTATAGATGCTTAGAAAAGCCTAAGACCGTAAAAATAGACTAAAAAGCACACTGAAAACGAACAAAAATGGATAAAAACGGATGAAAACGAGTGAGATAAACTGAACTAGTCTTTACGTGAAAAACAAAAAAAAAACGAATAGTAAGTTGAGGCAAAACCACAGTTAACTATTAAACATGGTGAAACTAAAAAAAAGTAATCTACCGAACGTATAGCTCAGGATAGATTCTTCCGGTCAGAAATGGGACATTTGTTGCATAAGAACACGGTAAAAGTTTGATAAATGCAAATCACGTTAGGACTAAACTTCCCGTTCGAGAAGCGCGACAAGTTACACATACAATTCAGGTAATTCCTCACTAGAAGTTTCCCAAGTTGGAGAAGATATGGGAATCTCGATGCTCTGTGAAATAAACTGTGACGAAAATACTTTCCATGCGAAGCTTCCACTGGTACCATGGAAGCTCATTTCCGGTTAGTTTGATAGTGGGACATTCCATCGAATCTTTAGTAGTTTTATTCAGTCCTATTTAGAGTGTGGAGATTTTGCGTTTTCTTACTCACTTCAAATTAATAAGAATACATTGGGATCTGTCCAAATGTGAGCCATGAATTCCGTTTGAGGACAAAATTGAAACTGAAGTATGCTTTGTCCATTTTCGGTGAATGAGGTAATTCTCACAGGCGGGACGTTTGGTAAAGAAGCTACAACTGCCAAGGCGTCATAATCCCTACTTAGATTGTAAGGTTCTTGCTTTTCTCCTTAACCGTGATTTATTTCCGCTAAAAGACGGCTTTTGTAAAGTTAAATTTGAAGTATGGTCTCCAGACACCTTGTTTCAGGTCTGCAGCTCTCGACCGTTCGTGGGGCTGCGATGTAACACGCATATCACTTAATTTTATTTGAAATGGGTTCAATGTGGTCTTAGATAGGTCTTGCATGATTGAAACACTGTAGTTTCAGGTAAAAAAATGCACATAAATATAGAATCCAGCGTATTTGCAAGTCAGTTCTGCGACCTAATGATCGCATGTTTCAATACTGATTCACAGTTCAGTGTAACGTGTTAATATTATTTCTGTGTTCTTTGGTTCAGATTAGTGCATGTACACTTCTAGACGTCGCCTTTTCGTCTCACACTGACGGTCATAAAGCAACCTACTAAACATACCGAAAAGAGAAATTAGAGAGACGTTCCTTGATAAAAATTAGGCGTGATAATTAGGAAATGCGACAGGAAGTCTCTTTTCTCATACGATGGTGAAAAGAAAGTTTTCGTATTGTCATTGGTCTGTAGTGTCGCTGGACTTACAAAGGATTTGTCTACTTTTTACCTCAATGTACGCGATCTCGGAAACTTGTTGGTTTGTTTTCTGTCGCTCGAAAAGTTTATTTAGACTCTTAATATAGCAGTTAAAACGAACTGTTGTAACAACAAGTTATTCGGAGTCAAAATAGTGACTCGGTCTTCCGAGCGAATTCCGAAAAGTAGACCCAGTTCGCATCCACTTCGTCAGGAACTTTGTACAAAGAAACCTTGTCTAGTTAGCAAAATGCTTAGGAATTAAGGAAGTTCTGTTGTGACACCACGCTGTAAAGATGGCACGGAACGTAAGCAGCACTACGTAAAACACTACTTTTCATGTAGGTTTATTAGGGATTCGTCACCTCTTCCTTTGAGTAACTTTTAATTAAATAACATCATTACTAACAATGGACGATAGGTATCGCCGCGTGGCACATTCAAGTCTTTCGATTATGGTGGTAAATTTTTTATCCTGCCGGTCTATTTACTAGCTGGTCAAGTAAGGGTATAAAAATTCCATAGTCGCTTAGCGTCCCTCAAGGAGGCTGCTATTACGAAGGCTCATTTCTCCTAATCTTGTCACCTTGGTTCAGTAACTTGGTGCTTAAAGCTCTAGACTTTCAACCATTGGGTTACATCAAAACTTTGCCTGAACTATTTAACTCTGAACATATGGGTGATATTAGCAGTCAGTCAGTCAGCTACAAAGTAGGACCAGGTAAGTATATGCATCTGTCCAAGTTGTCATACTTCATTAGCACAACAAGATAAACACCTAATTCATAGTAGTTAGTTCACTGGTACTTACTTACGCCTGTTACTCCCAATGGAGTATAGGCCGCCGACCAGCATTCTCCAACCCACTCTGTCCTGAGCCTTCTTTTCTAGTTCCATCCAATTCTTGTTCATTTTTCTCATGTCTATTTCCATTTCTCGGCGTAATGTGTTCTTTGGTCTTCCTCTTTTCCTTTGGTCTTGAGGATTCCATGTGAGGGCTTGTTTTGTGATGCAGTTGGGTGCTTTCCTCAATGTGTGTTCTATCCACTTCATCAGATCCACCCTGTTCATCAGTGATGCTGCCTAAATATGTAAGGGTTTTTACATCTTCCAAATCTTCTCCGTCAATTGTGATTGGATTGGTGCATGCTGTGTTGTATAGGAGAATCCTGCTTTTCCCTTTGTGTATATTGAGACCTACTGCTGCTGAGGCTGCTGCTACACTGGTTGTCTTCTCCTGCATTTGTTGTTGCGTTTGGGATAGAAGGGCCAGATCATCTGCGAAGTCTAGATCGTCCAACTGCATCCTAGATGTCCATTGTTTCCCGTGTTTCCCTTCAGATGTTGACGTCTTCATGATCCAGTCGATCATCAGGGGAAAGAGAAAGGGTGAGATTAAAATTGCTACATATCTTCTTTTCTACCAACTAATTCTTTCTTCCTGAACTATATCCTTATACACAATCTTTCTTTTATATATTATTACCAGTGAACTGGAAAAAACGCTAACCAGTTCACTGGTAATAATATATAAAAGAAAGATTGTGTATAAGGATATAGTTCAGGAAGAAAGAATTAGTTGGTAGAAAAGAAGATATTAAGTAATTTTAATCTCACAGTTTAAGGGAAGACTTTTACATAGTGTGTATTTGCTGAGTTACATTTCTATTTTCGTACTGCATGTCATTTTAGACTACCTATACTTAGAGCTCTGTGGTTTTTAGGCTTGTGCACAGATATTTTATTTATTTATTGTACATTACTACCATGTTTCATTGAGTATAATGGTCATAACGGTACTGCATAATATCTTTTGAAATGTATATTTGGCGAAGTTAAACAGTAGCAGCTGTAAAATGGATGAGTTGGTTGGGGCTAGTAGGATCAATACTTAACTGTCCCAAAAGGCATTTGTGAATGTAGTCTACTCAATTTGATGTCTACAAACTTTTCTAGGGTTTTTGTAAACAGTGAGAGAATCGGAGGACCTTCTATAGCTTCACTGTGGGTGTTATGACGTACCAGGGCATTAAACGACCATAATTTTATTCAAAATCTGTTGTTGTTATCTCACCTATCTGGTTAGCAGTTCATCATCACCTATAGATTTGCTGTCTGTGATCGCTATCCCGTCATTTTGATTGTGATTTTAGTTTTGAGTGTAGCTCACTAAATATTTCTCGTCTTATCATTCACATGTAAGTGCATCTGGAGGTTACCCGACCGTTGTTGCTACCTTGACGTGGTGGTCGGGCTTGCCTATCGTGATGAAGCAACCGAGCTATACTGGCTGGAACAACCGTTCCTCAAGGTCCTACCATGTCAAACAGGTCGGTTGAAGAGCGGTAAGACTAAAAGCAACAAACCCAAGGTCCGAAGGCGAAGTCGTACTGCTGACTGTACAGAGGTGTGACAGCAGTTAGGTGTTTCCTTCAGATAACCAGTATGACAGCGATGCTGCCTTCCCACAAGGAGGGGTGGGGTTAGAAAAGGTCGACCCTAAAAATGCACACTTCGCCTTATCCCACGGATATCCGTCCCCGGCGGTAAGTTCTCAACAAGTACGGAGCTAACACAAAAATCACCCATAAATAGGTCGTGTGTGACCGACCTCAAGCAGTTGTCCCTTGGGCACTGCGGTCACGCTCTCGGGTCACTAAGACCACCTCTAATCCAATTTCCTTTTCAGGTACCTCCAGAAGAACCCTTCCACGGTGTGGGCAACCGGGAAGTGATAACCGCCCTCATACCTCTAACAGCACCCAAGACCACTGTATTCATAATCAACCTCCCTCTTTAATTCCTATTATTCCGCCTACATCGACTTTCAACTCTAAATTTCCTCCTTCGGCTTCCACCTTAAGTGTCACCATAGCCAACGATTCTAGTTCTCAAAACACTGTCCCAGGTCTACTGAAACCTCGCTCCACACTACACATTGGAGTCTTCAACGTACGAACACTACGTCAAATCTGTCAGCAGGCTTCCTTGGCTAAAACCCTAGAGTCTCTTACCATTGATGTATGCTGTGTCTCCGAAACACGCATACAGGATTCCAGTGTGGTCATTCACTTGACGTCACCTCGTCAAAGCGGAGAGCCAACGAGATACACCCTCTGTGTATCTGGTGACCCGATGGCCAGTTCTCGTGGACTGGCAGGTGTAGACATAGCACTAAGCATGAGGGCCGAACAAGCACTGCTAGAGTGGATCCCCGTCAGCAGTCGTCTATGTGCTGTTCAGATAAACGGCTATGTAAGAACTCGGAAGGATAGGGACACACGTCGTTGCCTTTTTATCGTTTCTGCCTACGCTCCCACTGACTGCAGCTCAGATGAAGTGAAAGATGAATTTTACAGAAAGCTGTCCGAACTTCTGCAGAAAGCTAAACGCTCAGAAATAGTACTCGTAGGGGGTGACTTTAATGCTCAGATAGGTAGCTTAAACCAAACAGAAAGGCATTTAGGTGGATATTTTAGTATTCCGACACAGCGAACAGATGATGGTGATCGTCTGCTGCAGCTATGCTCAGACAATCGTTTATTTTTAGCAAACACAAATTTTAAGCATAAGGAGAGACATCGTCTAACATGGCGACCCCCTACACCAAACCAACGATGGACTCAAATAGACCATATTGTCATCAGTCATCGTTGGAGAGGGTCGGTACAAGATTGTCGCTCATTCTGGAGTACCTGCTTGGACTCCGACCACGCCCTAATACGGGCACGCATCTGCTTGCGCCTCACTGGACGCAAAAAAGCCACAGTAAAAAGACCCATTAGAACCTAACTGAGTAGCGAGGAAACCAAAAGTAGGTTCCAGGAACAACTGACGTCACACTTAGGTAGTTCTAAAGACGAGGCTGATCCAGATGTTGCTTGGAAAGCTATACAAACAGCTGTGGAAACAGCAGTGACATCTATTAGTGACTTAAACCACAGAGTTACAAAGAACCAGTAGATTTCTTCAAGGTCTATCACATTGATGGATTCTCGTAAACTCGTCCCATCAGGTTCTGAACATGATGAAAAGCGAAAACAAATCAGATCTAGGTTAAGAAAAAGTCTAAGGAACGACCGTGAGCAGTGGTGGGTAACGAAAGCAAAAGAGATGGAAAAGGCGGCGACTATAGGGAACACAAGACAGCTTTACAGACTAATAAAGGAAACTGGAATTAATAAGTCAAGTGTAAGTGAGATTATTTCGGAAAAAGATGATACTCTCATCTGCTCCCAGTCCAGACGTTTAGAACGATGGGCGGAACATTTCAGAGAACAGTTCAGCTGGCCTTCAGCTACTCTACAACTACCCTCCATTCCCAGACAATGTGAATGGAACATTGAAGTAGGTCCCCCAACTCTTGCTGAAGTTCAAAAGACTATAGTTAATCTGAAGCGAGGAAAGGTAGCTGGTCCAGATGGATTGGCTCCAGAAGTCTTTATGGATGGTGGTCCAATTTTAGCGATTACGTTGACTAATATTTTAGCTAAGATCTGGGAGTTAGACTTTATCCCATCTGACTGGTCGCAACCACTTATCGTGCTGAGAATTCTATATTGTACCAAAAAGATAATATTGAATAAAGCCATTAATAATAATAATTAATAATAATAAGAAAGGGTCAAAATCATCCTGTGACAACCACAGATGGATTAGTTTAACAAATATAGTATCTAAAATACTGGCCTCGATAATTATCAGACGCCTAACTAAGACCCGTGAACTGCAAACACGAGAGAACCAAGCTGGCTTCAGACCTGGTCGTGGCTGCATCAACCACATATTCATCATTTGTCAGGTTCTAGAACATAGGCATACTTACCGGCGTCCGACAATGGTGGTCTTTCTTGACTTGAAAGCAGCATAGACCTATTGATAGAAATAACATTCTCGTCTACTGAATTCTAGGGTATTGATCTCCTACCAGTAGGTCCACTTATCGACTTAGAATACGCAGATGACATAGTCCTGTTTGATGAAGACGCTGAGAAAATGCAGAGTCTTTTGGTAGCACTAAGCAACAATGCCAGAATGTTTGGAATGCGCTTCTCTCCCTCTAAATGCAAGTTGTTGCTTCAGGACTGGTCTGCGTCAACACCTGAACTAAGGATAGGGAGTGAAGTAGTCGAACGCGTTGGCAACTTCACTTATCTTAGAAGTCTGATCAGCCCTAATGGGTTGGTGTCTGACGAAATCTCAGCACGGATTCGAAAAGCTCGCTTGGCTTTTGCCAACTTGCGTCACCTTTGGCGAAGGCGAGATATCCGTCTATCAATAAAAGGACGGGTATACTGCGCGGCAGTCCGTTCTGTCTTACTTTACGGCAGCGAAACATGGCCATTAAGAGTAGAGGACACTCGTAAGCTACAAGTATTTGACCACAGATGCCTTAGAAATATTGCTGGCGTCTGCTGGGATCACCGGGTAAGTAATAGTGAGGTCAGACGCAGGGTATTAGGGAATGATGGTAAATCAGTTGATGAGTTTGTTAATCTTCATCGACTGAGATGGTTGGGCCGCGTGTTACGTATACCTGAACACCGATTACCACGACGTGCAATGCTAACCGGTGTTGGGGATGGTTGGAAGAAAGTTAGGGGCGGCCAAACCAAAACGTGGCATCAGTGCTTGAAGTCACTAACTTCTAGTCTTAGCCATGTTGGTAGATGCAGACTACTTGGTTGGGGTCCGCGTGACTATCGTAACCAATGGTTGGAGACTATTGGTGATATGGCTCAGAATCGGTCACGATGGCGTCGGTGTATACACTCTTTGTTTTCCTTTAAACTAAGAGATTAAAATCGCTTCATATCTTTCTTTCTACGAATTAATTCTTTCTTCCTGTACTATGTCCTTATATGCAGTCTTTGTTTTGTATATTACCACCACTGAGTTAACTGCTTCTATGAATTTAGTGTCCATCTTTTTGTGTTAATGAGGTATGGCAACCTGGACCGATGCATATATGTGCCTGGTCCTACGTTGTAGCTGACTGGCTGACTGACTGCATCTGGAGGTACAATCTAACCGTATCTAAACTCATGACTTTCCTGTTTATGTACGTTATTCAAACATTAAGCCTAGATGTACTTGTTTTAAGTCAAATAAGTTACGGCATTTATCTAGTCACTTTTGGGACCTGGATATCCGTAGTAAGTGGTGACGAAATGCAGTTCGCATCTGACTTCTCTGGATCTGATCCACAGATAGAAATCCAATATTTGTGTCGTGTGCTCAATTAGACGATTTGCTAACACTCAGAAAGCGAGAAAACTTTTGGCAGAATTCCCTTTTCTTTCATCTAAAGTGTAACAAATGAGGATGTAATTGGAGATTATGACCAAACTATGATGTTTATTCTTACACTAACGTTTTGTCAGTTAACCCAATAGGACAGCACGCTAACAACTTTACCCCTGGAATTGAGTCAACGAGTTTCCGTTTCGCTGTTGAACTCGTTGTTATACATACATCTGATGTTCTACGGGTTGCTGTAGGTCTTCAGGTATGTGAATGGCTAATCTCAGTTTCTGAGGTGAGATCAAATAAATAGCCATACCTGGATTTATATACAAATTTAAAATACAGTGTAAATGCATTGGATTATATAGTTTCAACCCATGATCCCTGTTGTTTGGCTGCACATATGGTTCAAACACCGAGCACAGCATGTTGACTGTCACACGGTTTTAGAAAACTCAGTAACATATTTTTCTGCTCGAGTCGTTTTATTTTTAAACGGAGGGTATAGTTGCAAGATAGTTGCTAGAGGCAGTCGACAGAAAACCCTAAACCCAGGTTTTATGCCATTGGGCACTCGTTAACAAGGTAACTTACGCTACTGGCAGATCCAATCCCGTGTTACCCAGCCATGCAGTCACATAAGCTATGGTTTTTTACTAATCGCCTTAAATTTCGTATCCGGTGACAGGGTTTAACGACTTCAAGCCAGTTTAGCGTGACAGAACGCATTAGGTGAAGTATGTGGTTATTAGATTAAGGGAGTGTCCAGTAAGTGAACTTTCATTTTATTCATTATTTTTGTTGTTATGAATGTATGAGATATCACAGTGACTCGGTACTCAAACTGAATCACATGAGTTTCATGGAAGACCAAATTTTCGGGAATCGAGATTTATTTTTAGTAGAGAATGTATCAACTACACTCTTAAGATATCCCCGTACTCCTGGCTATTCATCTAAACCGTTTATAAATGGATTTTCATCAACATATTGTCATGCTTTGTTTAGTATGATCGTTAATCATTCAAAGTGGTTTCAAGTCACTTGTCTTTTCAATGAAATCTGTTTTGTGCATATAATTCTGTCTCTGTACTGAGTCATTAAATTTTAAATAATACACAAGGAAATGTCCGGGCCGCTCCATATAGATTTTAGTCAGATAATCGTACTAATTAATGGTGATAACCAGATATTTTATACAACTCTTTTCTGTTATGTTCCTAGATATAGGTTATGGTCATCAAGAAGAAAATATCATTGAAGATTATTGTAATCGGAGATAGTGGGTATGTTTCATTTTGAACATTAGTGTTTAGTGTGCGAGTGTTGGGAAAACGTCTTTGATAACCCAATACATCGATAAGAAGTTCAGTAATCAGTACAAAGCTACAATTGGTGCAGACTTTTTTACAAAACAAGAGGTTTTTGATGACCGTCTTGTAACAATGCAGATTTGGGATACTGCTGGCCAGGAAAGGTTCCAGTCTCTCGGAGTTGCGTTTTATCGTGGTGCTGATTGTTGCGTCCTCGTCTATGATGTTACTATGACAAGTACCTTTAAAACATTAGATTCGTGGAGAGATGAATTTTTGGTGCAATCAAGCCCTCGTAATCCCGAAAAGTTTCCATTTATTGTTATTGGGAATAAATGTGATTTAGATAATAGAGCTGTAAGTGTTTTGTTTACTTTTGTTACTGTGTATTTGCATTTGAAGCTAGTAGAGTCATTACATAACCTCACATGTCCTCATGACCTTTGATAAAATATTTCGCCATTCCTAGTGTAAATCTACCACAAGATGGTGTTTTGGTGTATCTAATGTGTTTTCATTATCCATATATATATACTTCGAATTCCATGACGTTCTCACCTATCTAGAAAAGTTATTTGATCGAGGTACTGAAATCACTGTCAATAATCATTCTCTATATTTATGTTAAGCTTAGATCGATATTAAAAAGGTGACTTTTTCCAAATGTTTTGCTAAAAAATAACGAATTTTGTTGCGCAAAATAGTGGGAACTAATTGTAATTCGGCGTGAGATTATCGAGCTCACGTTTTGATGAAATTATAATGGCATGTTTACATATTTGTGGTCTGGAATTTGTAATTTCGTTTTTCTGATTCAAATTTTTGCTATTAAGTATTGAGTTATGATTGTCTTATCTATTCGGGGGTGGTTCGCTAAATATTTTCTTCGGCGAGACTCTAATTTAGGGACGACCTTTGAACGAATCTTAAGTGACCTTGACAATTATTAGCCAATTAGAAAAAAGTTAGTATAAAGTGAAAATATATTATATGAAAGTAATGAATTACAGTGGATATTCTTCTTTTACATGATTTAAAAACTTCTTAAGGTTTGATTAAGGTTCAGAGGTTCTAAATTCACAATGCATATGGAATAGAAACTCGTCTATTGGGTTAGGGTTAGGTTTACGGGTAAGGTTAGGTTAGGGTTTAGGGTTAGGATTAGGGTGCTAACATACGCTTAGGGTTAAGGTTAGGGTTAGTTGAGTGTTGAGGTTTAGGGTTAGGGTTAGGTGGCGGTTAGAGTTTAGGGTTAGGATGCTAACATACGAGTTTTTAAATCATGTAAAAGAAGAATATCCACTGTGATTCATTACTTTCTTTTAATATATTTCTACTTTATGCTGTCTTCTGATTGGCTAATAATTGAAATTGCTCAAACGCTTCTGATTGGCTCGTCCCTAAATTAGAGTATCGCCGTCCCATCTGCTGTAACATCTCATTAATCACCTACTCTTTAAAATCCGCTGTGAACCGATCGTATGTTAGCATCGCGTGTTGAACTTGGCTCCGTGACCTTGAAATTGCTCAAACGCTTCTGATTGGCTCGTCCCTAAATTAGAGTCTCGCCTTTTCTTCATTCAGATATTACCATTATTTCATATGGGATTTCTTGTCAGTGGACTAATTTCGAAAATTTTAGTATTCCATGTAAAATCATGCACTTAAATACTGCTCATTCGAGTCAGCTGTGTAAGGGTTTTCTTATTGATAAGATATAGTATCTGTAGTAAATTTATCTTTAACAATCTTAGGAATCCAAGTGTCAGTGAGTTACAAACAGAAATGATTACCAAGAATCGACGTATTGATAAAATATTACATCCAGCATATTAGCATCACTTAAGTTCTCATTCTATCTGTCGAGTTTGCGTTTTGTCACTTTCATTCTCACATCAGCTAAACTAAATAAACCACCTGCGTCAGTAAATTTGAAAGTAACTGGAAAATTTACACCATTAGAAGGGATGGTCGATTTTATAGTAACTCAGTAATAATCTCTTCGGTTTAAAAATGTAGTTAGTTGTAAGTGGCAAATGAAATGTGTGAAAACACTGAACGTTAATTCGATTTTATACCGCTGTTAATCTAGTCATCAAAATTTGATTTTTCTAATCAAGGATTGACGTATTTTTATCCCAGTTTTTTCCAGATTATTCGTTTGTTTTCGAGAAAATAATGCCCATTTTTACTTCTTTTAGGAAAGTTAACTTTTAAAGAATATGGAGTGTAGCTTTTTGCATACTTAATCGGCTTTAGAAATATACAAGCCCTCTTTATTTCTATTAAATTAATTATTCATCAACTATTTAGTCGTCTTATGCAACACCTTTCGGTTGTGATTCATTGCTATGAGGAACTCTATCGATGTATGTTTATTATTACGCAATAATAGAAATTTAGGTAGGCCGAATGAGGATTATCATCCTTCTAATGTTGAACTACTTTAACTTAGTTTGCACTGCTTAACATTCACAACCGAATTTGTGTTTACAAACTTCCCGTTTTAACAAAATCTTTCAGAGGTCACTTCAGTTACATTTTATGGTTGGATTTTTATGATAAACTGGTTGATTGATGTAAATTTTTCCTCACAGGTAACTCACTCTCTATGACTTTTGTCTCACTTGACAAGATATCTAATATCATTGTTCTCCTCTCAAAAAATAGTTTCTGCACAATTTTAGACATGTTTCGTATCTTAATTGGTAAGTGTACGTTTTTCTCATTTTATGTAGGTATCTGAAAATCGTGCAAAGCAATGGTGTCAGGCAAATGGTAACCTTCCATATTTTGAATGTAGTGCTAAAGAAAATACAAATGTTGAGAAAGCTTTTGCTCATATTATAAGAGTCGCCATAGACGAAGAGTCTGCGGTGAGTTTTCCCTTTTTATCGTAAGATTAATTGATAACTATTTTGTCTTGTTAAACAACATTGTTCATTTAGATTATTGTCAGCTATGGCCTATTTACTAGTGCGCTGTTTTTATCTGACATGTGTAAAGCTTTTTACTCTTCTGTATGTCGACTCTATTAAATAAATATCCAGTGTTTGGAATTTCCACCTGAAGTTACAAAATTAGTAGGAATGTACTCTTGAGTTGAAAAACGAAAACATTGTGATTTATGACTGTTAATCGTGTGCTAACGCCACGTGGTAAATTCGCATCAGCCGTTTCAGCTTTGGACTAATATGTAACTTTCCAATATAATTATTATCAGTTTTGTATAAGGGGTAGCTACATATCTTACCGTGTCCACAAGTTATCCAAGTTCGGCAGCCTAACCTAAACCTTATATATACGTGTCGATATACTCCATTTAGTCTGATATTACTAATTTCGATCACGTGAAATTGTTGGTCTTTTGAATACTATAAACTTTGGAATATTTTAGGTGAATAATACCAAATTGCATATATTATAGAAAATACTAACTGAAAATCAATATTTTAAGCTTATTTTTTCTATGAAAGAAACTAATCTCTGTAAAGGCAAGTTTTGTGTATGAGTTTAGTAAATCAATATTATGAACTATTCGCTTTCATATTTCGCAACTTAGTTACATGTTTTAAATTAAGTAAGGGTTTAAGATGACCAATTTTCGGATTCCAGTTGCAGTATGGTTTAAAAAAAACATATTTGATCTCTTAATCACATCAATTCATACATCAGTCACGTTTAGCAATAACGAGCTAAACTAGCTTGTGTTTATGTCATTTAAATTACAATTATTGATTAAATCATATCTATCCATCACCAGTCAGTTATGATCAAATTTTTATGATTCGGTTGAATATTTATTAGTTTAAGCACCATTTATTATTGAATCACATATTTTACGTATTCCACAAATGGAGTTTTTATTTTTAAAGATTCAACTGGGCTAGACGTACACTTTATACTTTTATTATCAAAACAGTATTGGGTTTTTTTAACCAATATTTTACGTGCGTATATGTCATATGTAACTCGTGCTATTGATTTGTATGCTAATAGTTGTGCAGATTATTGAATTTAGTTAACTTTTAAAGACTCTTCTAGTTTTGGTCGCCTACATTAGAATGTCTCCCAATGTATTTACTTTATTATTTGTTTCCTTCAGTTTGTAAGTCTTGAGATAAGCCAAATCAGTGACCATGTATTAGCGCATTCGGTCCATAGTGCTGATGTTATTTTATTGAACAAGGAATGCTGTGTGACTGATCGACCAACCTAAAACTATGGAAACATAGTGAGTTTGTTAAAAAAAAGTGTATAAAGTTGGTTGATATTCGCCAACCGAGTGAATCTGCAGTGTCAGACACGTGTTCTATGGTGCTTTGATTGGAAACGTCTTAAGAGAAAATTCACCCTTAAAAATTACACATTGAACGTTATCTTTACTGTACCAAGCGACTTTAGTCATAGTTTCTTTTTAAATTCTGTGCAACCTGTGAACGTTTTAAACCAATAATTTTTATAAATAGTAGCTTAGGCTTCACTGTATCCTACTTCTGTTGTCTTAAATATTTTAAAAAACCCTTGACAGTTTCTCCATACTTTTTTGAACCTATTTCGTATCAAAAGGGAATTTATTCTCAGTTTACTGTGTCATTAGCTCATTTTCGTGATCATGCACATAGGTACATAGTTGCTAGTTAACGGTTAATACAAATGTGTTCAACTTTTAAAAAGTTATTACTTGTGCATCTTATTAATGAGACCAAATCGATTGTTCTATGTTTGTTGTCACAAAATTGCGGTGCTGTTATCGGCTGACTTTTTTACTTTATCACTCGGTAAAGTTCAAGGAAAAGAAAATAATAAAAGTTCGATACATTTGTCGTATCCATTTCTTAAAAAGGTTTGGATTTTGTATCACCAACTATGTCAGTCGCACTTGCCATTAATCTGACATATTATCTAAAACGTCAAACTGAGATGTGATATAATGTATCGACTAAGTTGATTGCATTTCAAACTACCATGTCCCAAGAAATCAAGAAGGAAATCGAGTAAGATAAATAAACTCCCTTAGGATAGTAGAAATATCCCACTATCTGTTAAATGTAGAATAAACCCATTTGTGTTAATGCAACTGATTAATAACTGTTAATTATATATTTAATCACTAATTTAGACTCCCTTTTTAATTCGCACTGTGAAACAAACTGTCCCACATATACTTGGGCATTTGACCACTGACCAATCTTTTTTTTATTAGGTTACATAACTTCCCTGCTATCTAACCCATCACCATAATTTATTAAATATTAGCTTCCGTAGTAATCCTACACCTTACTAGAACTTAATAACAACAAACCTGAGATGAGGAAATGGGTTTAAATCATGACCACTAAATTTTGCGTCAAATATGCCCTAATTGATCGGTTTTGAATTGTAGGCATACTTACCGATACCTGGCCGTAGTCGTGTTCTTTTACCTTCTAATGCATTCGATTCTGACTGACGGTAATGGAAACGCGCAGCAAAAAATGTGTAGTGAAGATGTTGTAATTGAGTACTATTGATCAGTTTAAGAACACCAAATTGTTCTGAACCAATTATATCAGGCGAAACTTAACTGGACTGCCCATACTCTTCACTTTTGTTTAGTTCTGTTATGCACATACTTTTAGAGATAATAATTTCCTATCTAACTTCATTAATTCATCTCCCAACAGGAGACGATGGTCGACTAAATGCATTCAGAAAACATTTCCTTCCCTGTAAATACGGAACGCTGCTTCAATTACTGGTCTACATCAATACCTAAAGTAGCTGAGCTTTTTAGGCATTTCAATTATTGCATAAGTTTCATTAATACTAAGGTTTTGGGGCTAATGAAATCTCAACATACCTAACACTTTCTACTCCAAACATAGGTTAAACAGGTCTTCCAGCTAAATTTTTAATAAGTACATTCGAACGTAGACATCTCTTTCAAAATGTATGTACATATCTCAAGAAGAACTTTTTCTTCCAGCTTTATCACTGTCCAGTAGTTATATTATATGTTGATAATCTGATATATGAAGCCACTAAGTCAAGTTTTTAACGAAATTTAATATTGATACTCATAAACATTGGCTATTTCTACTACTAATTTTATTGTCATCCTTGTGGATATATACATTGTAGTCCAGTTCATGTAAGGGACAATTTACTTGGGAATTGATTTTATTTATTTCAGAAGCCATAAAGTACATGTAGCGTGTTTTCATCTTATTCAAGATAATTAAAATCGCTTAAATTCTTTTTTTCTGTACAATTCAATCGTATCTGCACTATATAATTGTAATAAGTTGTTAATATGTGCTATTCAACCAGTTTAATCAAAATCTGAATTGTCATTTCCTTCAGTATTGTTATAGAAACTTATTTTAGCGCCATGTAGTATAGATGTATTGTCAACAAAAGTTATCTGACAAAAATCAGTGAATAAAACTTTATTGTAGTCTATTTGGTTCTTTTAGATCTATGACTAAAAACATTTGATACATTCAAATCAAAACCGCATTTTTGCTTTGTTTCAATGTTTATGTTCACTAAAACGCTATATTTTTATTAACTTTTAATATTGATGTGATTTTTTTCTTTATAGACAAATCTACACTCTGACTATCCTGATAGTATTCGTTTAGGAACTGAAGAACAAGAAAATCAAGACAGATGCAGATGTTAAGGTCATTCTTTTATTGTTTCTTTTTCTCATAAACATCATCAACATTATGGTTCCTCATCAGTTGCAAAAATCTAATACTACTACTACTACTCTGTGCGATAATTACATTGTTTCTTCTAATTCACATTTTATAGCTTAATAAATGGAACTTATTGATAATTGGTTATTCATTATCCAAACATTCATTCTTATACATAATTTTATTGTTGAAATATATATAACGAATAGTCAATTCTAATGATTAGTTTTTAACTATGCATATTGTTGTAATTTTCCTCATTTATATGTTTTGATTGTTCAGCATATTATATGTTGAAAAGATTTGTGACAATTGTTTTGTTTTTCAAACTCATTTTACCTTTCTATTTAATATAAAATAGTTTCTATAGAATCCTAATTCTATGATGTTTGTTTTTTTTGTTTGGTTTTGTTTTCATTGTTTAACAATTCTATCATGATTTATACGAAACAAAGATAAGTATTTATTCTTGAATGAATCTATATACCAAATAAATTAAACTTACTGATTTGGCTTGTTATTGATCATCTTTATTGGTTGAAAAAATTCGTTATAAATACTACTGTCATTTTTTAATGTTATTACGTTGTTTTTGTTTTGTTGATTTCATATAATTAATGTGTATATAAAGATCTAATTATATAACCTACTTCATGTAATTATTACATGATTTATAAATCACACTTTCTCTTCTGATTTTTCATTACAATTATTATGTTGCTATTGTTATTTCAGACCAATGTTTAATTGATTTCTTGAATTTTCTAACCTTTACATCCGTACTCTAACTCCTGCTAAATCGCCTCATAGGGTAAGAATAATAAAAGAGTACAGATAAACTAACAGGGAATCTAGGTTTCATTACTAAGGTTTGGCTTGATATTTTGATTTAGTAAAAGGTTCAATAGTTATCACTAGTGAGCTATAGGATACATGTATTACAATATAGTTCATTCACATTGTTTGAGAGAGTGGTCAGTTTAAAACATACAGTGTAGTCTTATGAAGTAAGAATGTTAACAAGGTGTATTTTGTAGGTTTCTGGTAACTTTATTGTACCGGATATCTATCTTTAGTTTAGACCTTAGGTTTCAGATATTTTAATTAAACTATTTAGTAAATAATTAGTCACCAAAAAGCGAACTTTTATACAAAATATTTCAGATTGTGACAGATATCCTATGTCAAAGAATAATCGAGTTCACTTAACACCTGGTTTGCAGAGTCCATTTGGGCTTTTGCTAGATTTCAGGTCCAGTGGTTTCATGTGAACGTCATAATTAGCTGCCTAAATATCAATTGAAATATGGCCCAAGAACTTTGATATCTCCAAAAAGTTATGATACACCTTAACCAAGGATATAATTTACTAAAATAATTATAATCCACCTAATATTGATAAACTTGAACTAATATCTAACACATTTAGTAAAACGTTTCCTAAAATGTTGATATCAATTAGTGTTTCTTTAAAATTTCAAATAACTTTAGTCCTGTTCGCTTTTTTTATCTTAGCTCTTACTGATTTCATTGGTTATATAAAATCCTGACTAGCTATACTTTTCCCAGCTCTGACCCAAACAGTTCTTAAGTATCTTTCTCACCTGGGCGGGTTTATAGCTAACTTGTCTGGTTCTGGGAGATATCAGAATCTTATGACATCTTAGATTTTTAGTATTTTACACTTTGACTACCTATGTAATGTAATAACAATTGTACTCAAGACAAATTGCCTTTTGTGTGTATTCTAGGCATTTATCTAACTTTCCGTTAATAGCTTAAATATATCCTCTTTCGAAATATACCATGTTTGACAAAAAATTGGAAATTAATTAATTTATTTACCCTGCTAGATGGAGAGGCGCGAGATCAGATCCACTGAATTTCACTCGTACTAGGACTTCCAACCACCACATTCGATTTGCAATTATCAACATCATTTCAGTTTCAGTTCCCTTTTTCATAATAGTACTGATGATAATAATAACGTGACACTAATAAACTTAAAAAATCTGTCAAAACAACGTGTTCGTATGTGACAGCTCATCAACATGCAGAATCATATGATTGAGATAAGAACGTTTCATTAAAAAACAAACTGATTTATTTATCTAATGTTGCAGTCAATTGACTCAGTATTGTATTCATAATTCAAAATCACATCTTATTGTGTGTATTAGTCACAGTAAAGTTAAATGGAAACATGTGCTCCCCAACTTTTAGTTTACTTTTAATGTAAGCTGAACTACACACCTACTGACGAAACATTAAAGAAATATTTCGTGAATCTCTGTTTAGTTCCGATATACTGATGGATTTGAATGAATCTTTTTGTCACAAATTAATTTAGATTATTTTTAGTATGGGGTTGTGGAGATTATTGGATTTCATTGAAATCCTGGACCGGTCTATGCCTACTATTATTAGTAGTATTGTGTTGGTATTTTTATCACTGATTTACGAACTGTTCCAGTCTAATAAGATAACTGAACGTATCAGGAGAACTTGATTACTTCTGATCATCAGACAATGAAACCGACATTTTAGCAAATTACAACTTACACAATTATTCTGCATAAAAATTTCGAAATGTGTTGACTTTTAAAATTGTTTGGTTACTAATTAAAGTGTACGAAATAATAATATAATAATATTTAGATTCTAAATGAAATATTTTTCTTCGCAGCCTAAAATGCCTTTGAAGATATTTTAACTGTTCTATGGATCAACGTTCAATTTGATGAAAAACATTCCTTACATTAGAATGTACCTTTATATAACATAAATCGGTATTAGTGTATATTTTAAGATAAAAGATCTTATGCGCGAAATCAACAATAGCTATCACGTTTCTAGTGTTTTTTTTTAAAAACATATTTAAGTAGGTAGTGACCTAATTGTTGGAGAGAACTTTTGAGCTCGTCGAATTTCTATCATTCGAATATTTTCACCAGAATGGACTATATCAAAATTGAATCACTTGTATTTATTCTCATTTAAATTTCTCCTGCATTTTTTTGTTCGTTTTTTTACTACAGAATCATGAGCGAATTAACAGTTGAAGGTGGAGTTATAGACGATTTGAGAAAGTTAACTACAATCGATGATAGCTGCCCTAGTTGTCGTGCAGTCGGCTCAATTATCCCTTTAACCCTGTCTGCTTATATAATGTATGCGTGTAAAGATCAAGCCTCCAAGTATGCTGGTGTAAAAAAAGTGTCATATTTGACTCTATGCACTAGTATGTCATTGGGTAAGTTCTGTGAATATTTAACCTTTTAATATTCTACCTATTCGAACATATTCCCAATAGGTACTTCAGCAGAATAAAACATTACGTTTCACATCATTAGCATACCTAAATTCATGATAAATTTCAAATATTACACAAAATAAATGTGATAAATTTTAATTTAAACTATAAACTCTATCGTTTTTCGTCAGTTACTTGAAAAAATTTCCATTTACATAAAATAATATTACAATGGTTAAGTACAAGCACATAAAATACTGAAATCATCTTATTTAGAAGCTGGTACATTAGTTTGATAACTCAGGTTACCTTACATTTATTATAGAAAGAAAAATACTGAATCAACCAAGGAAAATAAAATCCAATTAGCTTAGAGAAGCTAGAAATAAAAATTGTTAACCATTTCCATAATATCATCTTTAACCATCCACTTATACAATCTCATAGATTCTATGGATTTTCTCATGCTTGCAAGACTTTGTTATTTTTTATTGTCACCATTATTATCCTCTCATTCTACTAACCGTAACCGTTAAACTAATCTTATTAAATATTTATAATCTTAAGCTCAATGAGAAATTACTGGTAATAAGTATTTACATAATTTGTGTATTCAAAAACAATTTGTCCTTACACTTAACCTACCCTATCCAGAGTGGTAATCATATTTCACAAGTTGAAATCATGAGCCAATTGAAGCTAGACCACCATGGGAAACCTGGAAGCACTGGACGGCCGTTTCGTCCTAGTACGGGACTCCTCAGCAGTGCGCATCCACGAACCCGCCCCCCGCGGGATTCGAACCCAGGACCTACTGGCTTCGCGTGCGAGCACTTAACCATTAGACCACTGAGCCGGCATCCAACGGTGTTAATGTTTTTGTGTACTTTAATATATTTCTTTCTTTATCATGGCTTATCTCTAACCTGTTTAGTTGACCTTTTAATTTTCATATAAATATGTTTTAACAAGTATAGATGTGTGATCAAATTGTTCGAAACGTATTACGCAAATGTATCACATAATTCTGATAAAATTCGTCTTTGTGTTTCCCGATTATCAAAATGGTAATACTTAAATAATAATAATAATAATAATAATAATAATAATAATAATAATAATAATAATAATAATAATGGCAAAACAAGTTTTATTATCAGGTTATATGTATGAAAATCTCAGCGATCGAAATAAAGTAATTGCAACATTTCACCCGTCAGCTTATTTCGAGCATAATATTTCGAAATAATCAATAAATTATTTAATATAAATACAGTCAAAACAAATCTTAATAAACAATTATTTATTCAATATTCACACTCTGAATTTAGTAGTTTATAGAGTGTATGTGAGTCATTAGATGTTAAATTTGTTCTAATTTCAGCATATGATGCTATGTATATAAGTATATACTATTCTTATCTAAATGCATTAGTTATCTGTAGCCCTGAACTATGAACAAAGTGATATTAGTTATCCTCATCGTCTATAGAACTAAAATTAGATAATATAGAATAAGTGGAATGTGGCTAGTAGTAGAATTCGAAAAGTACGTTCCATCCTCTTCAGGACTTGTCAACTGGATTTACCTGCACCCCGGAGTTGATGTTTACTGTGAGATTTAAACTCACTACTATTCGCTTCAAAGGTCATTACAGATAGCCAATCATTTGTGTAGCGGGTATGAGTTTTAATTCAATTTGAAATAATTTAGATTATCTCTTAATATTTGGACTGGAATTTGATCATTCTTGGTTTGATATGTGTGGATCCTGTACGAAGTCTTGTGCATCAAGTCCTGGAGTGAATATCAACTCTGAAATGCAGGTACATCCATGTGATGAGACCCAAATAAGGCAAAACACGCATTATGGATTCCAGTCCTAGCTACATTCTATCTGTTTCATATTGACTTGTGTCATAACGACTATATCGGGACAATCCGCACAAGAAACACTTATTCCAAACCAAGAATGATTAAATTTCAGTCAGAATATCAACAAAGGGATAATTAAAACTATTTCAAATTGAATTTAAAACTGGATAGTAGTAAATTGTCCTCAGAATGTATTGATCGGAGGATAGACAGTTGTATTCGTCTTATTCATGTTACTCAAAAGAAGTCAAAAGCATCTAGTCATGATAGTTGAATGTATGTTGTTGCTGTTCACGTTGCTTGAGGTGTAGATTGATGCAGCAATTGAAGACACTGTTATACCTCTCTTTTTTATTGACTGGTCAGTAATTATCATGTTGCAATTAGTTGCACTTCATCTCTTCTATTTAAAATGTTTGAGTTCGTTCATATGATAGGACCTTGACTAGCAGCCTTTCTTGTTAAAACTTGGAAACTTTTTCCAAAGCACTTTCATTTCACTGAAACAATTTTCTGTCCAACTTTTGTTAAATCTATTCTTAAGTTTGCTGAGGTTTTATGAGCATATAGGAATGTTTCAAACATTGTTTTCTTTCGTCATTACATCCAGTTGTTTGAGTGTCCCTCCTACATGTAAAACATTACGGTATACTTTATTTCATATGCATAATGTCTTTCTCTTCCCATGATACCATATTCTTAACTATCGTAGTAACTTAGCTTCGTTAATCAATCATTTTGATAACTGTTAGCATATAAATCCCCAACGGCGTTTGAAATTAGAAGGCAATAAGTAGCGGTGACCACAGTTTATTAACGGATAGCACAATTGACAAAGTTATGAGCACATCGAGCGAATTTGAAGCATAGAGGTTAGTATATGTTTGCGAGACAATACATAGGCAAATTTATAGTGAAATCAAATTAGGCACAGCTAGGCAAGGCAAAGGCTAATTATAGGATTCGAGTACATGTATACATGGGGAAGAGAATGAATCATCGAGAGGTATTCAAACTATCAACACTTTAGCTAGAGTCTGCTATGTGATCAAGCGTACACGTTTATACAGACATGATCATAATAAAACAAGGAGATAGACAAATTGTTACTGTTAGAATAACGTTGTCTATCAAATAAGTTAGTTAAAGGGCTCAACAAAATTACCCACAAACAAAACTGACCGTAGGAGAGTTGCTATACTCTCACTTATGTAGAATTAACAATAACGTTGGTTCTGAAGTATAATTTTATATCATATCTTTGAAGTATTTGTTTGCTCTGTCTGTGTAAATATGGCTCAACCCGTTTGCTACTTTTCTCCATGTTAAAATAGGCAGTTCTGTTAATCGGATTTCTCGCAACTGTTATATTTGCCTATAAAGTTTGTACTGACTTATCATTTAGATATTTTTGCTTTATGTGTTACTTTCTGGATTGAATTTCGTATTTTGAAAAAAATTTATTCGGTCGTTTTTGTTTAGTTGTAACAAAAGTATTATCCGCTTACTGTAAGTTTTGGTGGAAACACAAGTTTTATGATCGGCGTTGTTTTCCATCTAACGAATAATACAAATTTCGATCAGTATCCGATCCTAAACATTTGCATATAATATTTAGGGATCTGTCATTGAACCAAAGCTCAAACCAAGCTACCGAGTCGGACATGGAAACCACCTACTTTGAATCACTAATATTATTACAAATATTATTAGACATTTAATACCTTTTATATATTCGACTGTAAACCTTTGTGAAAACACTCTTTCAACTTTTGATAAAACTTTACATAAATTATATTATGCCATGTCATCATCTGTCAAAACTACCTTTTGTGTCACCGTTTGGTTGTTTCTATTATATATAAAAACGTCGTAATATTATCGTTTGTAATCTGTAGGAAAATCAATTGTATAAACTAATTTGAATAATAATTCGTCAGATCACTTTTTGTGTAGACTGAGTAATTAAACTCTTACCATGCAAACAGAATTTTAATTATTATTGGTACATGATTATATTTGAAATAAAATCGTGTGGTAAATACAAAAGACTAACATAATCAGTTGTAAATAAAGGTTAATTTATATTAGTAGAGTAATATATTACTGATAAACCATCAGATGAACTGAATAGAAATTTTGGCATACGTCTAGTACTGTGCCCCTAATAAACTTTTATTGTTGCCTAAATTAATGTCCTGATGACCTGGCTATGCAACTCTTGACTATACAATTATAAAATTAAACATAACCTGTCTATCATTCGTTAGTATACAACAAGTAATGTGTTTATCGGTGTATCATTTAATTTTATTATTAGGATGCATTTATCGTTTTATATTAACTAAATTAGTCGATGTAGGGATACATTAATCTGAATGATGTGCTCTAAACTTGCTAATTCATTTCTTGTACCAAAGATTCTAATCTTTTTTTCCCAACTGTTAACTTTTTCAAATAAGGAGTTCCTGTAGAATAGAGTTTTAGAATGCACTTATTGATAGCATCTTAGATTAATTCAACTTTAATGTCTTATCTATTATGATACAATAATAATCATTTTAAGCAAAAATCGATGGTGGCTAGCAGTGGAATCCAGGACGCGCGTTTCGCCCTATTTGGGTCTCGTCACCTGGATGTACCTGCATCCCAGAATTATTATTCACTCCGGGACTCAAACCCAGTACTGTTCACTTCAAACGGCATCGCGTTATCCACTTAGCTACTGTGTCCTGATAGCCACTTGCTTGTGTAATATAGTGAAGTGTTAGTCCACTGCTAGCCACCAACCATCTTTGCTTATAATGCTTATGACTTAAGGCAATATCGAAACAGTCCTCACAGGATGCATATACGCCAATAAGAGACTAATCAATTACAGTCCTAAATATCAATGCGAAAATTCAAACAAACAATACAAAATAAATTAATAATCCTTTTGGATTGATAACTGTTGCATCTGATAAAGAAGTTATTCAGAACAATCAATCACTTTAATACTGTTCGTTCAATACTCTTTGTTTTAGTTCTCTTTGTTCGCATTACCATACTCTGTCTGATTACATTTTTTGAATTATAAATGTTTTTCAGTACATTTTTATAATTATTAACCTTTGGCTAGTTTGTATGTCATCTTTTTGTTGAAGTTCAGTAACAACTCCATTTTTCCAGGTTTTTAATAAGATTAAAACCTTCTACATTTCTATTCGTTTGTTACTGTAAAAACTGAAATCCCGGAAAAAATTGATCTGAGCATATTTAATATTGGTTAATGGATAGCTATTCTTTTCTCGAGTTTAATTCATTGACTATGCTGGTTTAATCACGTCTTCACTGGTTAGTTGTTCAATCCGTAGTTGACAACATATCCTGAGTATAATAAAACACAGTTAATTTGATAATATTGGTGAAACTATTCAAACATGATACGTGTGAAATACAGAAAATACTTCGATAATAATGTATGGACACAATGCAATCAGTTGGCGCTTTTTCGATACGCATGATACAACGAAATCGATAATTAAAACTATTTGATTTAAATAAGACGGTTTGCAGTAAAAAAAACAATATTTTATATACTGATAATCTGACCAATCAACTTGTATGGATGTAGATAGTGAAACACATCAGTGAACCAATATATCAACAAAAGAATTTTATGAGACATGCAAAATAAAATTTATAACATATTATTTAACACCACAAATCTATGAAAATTTGACCTTTAAACTGAAACAAACGGTGATTAAAATAATATGAGACGAAATATACGAGACTTAAAATAATCGGATTACGCATGTGATAAAACGTAATAGTCAACAAATAATGATTATTATCAGAATGGGTTTTGTGGAGATTTTAGTAATTTCAATAGTTGAAATCATGATTTAATTGAAGCTAGACCACCATGGAAAACCTGGAAGCACTGGACGGCCGTTTCGTCGTAGTATGAGAGACCTAGTAAGAAGCTATGACCAGTGGAGTTCAACCAGATCTGTTCTGAGATAGCAGCTTACTGAAGACAACGGCGACAGTGGCGCAATTTCGTGGATTGGTTGAGGTTAGACATTAACACCGTCGGATGCCGGCTCAGTGGTCTAGTGTTCACGCGCTCGCGCGCGAGACCGTTAAGTCCTGGGTTCGAATCTCGCGAGGCGGGATCGTGGATACACACTGCTGAGGAGTCCCACATAGGACGAAACGACCTTCCAGTGCTTCCAGGTTTTCCATTGAAATAATGATTAGCTTATAAAAACGTATTGAAGGGGTAACAGTGCAAGCATTTTCTGCATGCGATTATCTCCCTCGAAATGCAAAATGATGCTTCAGGATTGGGTTGCATCGACACCCGAACTAATGATAGAGAGTGAAGTAGTTGATTGTGTCGACCGCTTCACTTATCTTGGAAGTCTTATCAGCCCTTGTGGTCTGGTGTGTGACAAAACTCGAACTTATGTACGTACGTACGAAGTTCTACGTTGTTACTGACTGACTGGAGGGATTTATTCAAATGTAAAGTATGAGACAATTATAATTGGTAAAAAATCTTTAAAAAATTCCTTTCAATTACGATTATATAGCTTCAATGATGATGTCTTAAAAAAATCTGTCTCTTCACGGAAGTACTGTCTCCTTTTCTATATCTTTCATTAGAACTTTCAACTTACTGTTCACATAGACCTGAAATATTGTGTTTTTCAATATTTTACAATGTTGAAACACAAAATTTATTTAAAATAATGTGGGATATCACAAAAAATATGTTTATTATTAACTTTCTACCTAATGCTCAATTTATTTGAAACTATCAAATTCAATCTTGGCATTGATACCTATAAATATATGTAATAATATATTCAGAATTAACGTAAGTGTTAGTTCATTAGCAAATCTAGTAGACAATTATCGTAAGTGAAAAATTCTGCTTTCATATATCGATTCTTCTGTTATATAATCATTCTGTACTATTTTTGACATATCCTTTTGACTATATTCTTATATGCAATCTTTCTTTTATATATTACCACCATTGAATTAATTACTTCTATGAATTTGATGTTCATCTTTTTGTGCTACTGAGGTATGGCAACTTGGACCGATGCACATATGTGCCTGGTCCTACGTTGTAGCTGACTGACTGATTTTTAAAATTTGCAACTTTTCCTGCAATGTATTCTAAATTTATTTACTTTTATTTATTTGAATATATATATATATTGCTACAACGGGGCACCAGATACATATGCGCCACACAAATCACATTTGATTTGTGTGAGGGCTTTGATACTGCCCGGGTGCCCAAACCGAAGCAGGTGGTTTTCTTAGGAGCCACACCCAGAGCTTTCTACCTAAAGGTCTGATCCACAATTCAGTGGAGCATTGTAAGGAGATGCATTCCCATGGTAGTCGGTGATCAACGATTGGTTCATACGCCATTTGTTCCCTCAGGATACTGGAGCCTATGTGCACCATTGGTTTGGAATCAGGGTTTTCCAACTCCTCTAGGTGGGTCCTCCATATCCACCAATACTGTTAAAGCACCGGAAATTCGCTTTTCGTCTTTTCTATTTAGTAGACAACACCCATGCCGTGAGAAGTCAATGAGTAGAACTTCCCTGGCAGAGGCTATATACGCGTGGCCATGTGAGAGCATTTCGAGAGGGAGAGCGGACTCTCCCCACTCTCGACTGCACCAGGGTTGTTTACATCTTGATTATATAATTAAATGAATAGAATATTGAATCATAAAATAAATTGTATCATGTTTTTAAAAAAAATCATATCTTATGTAACAAGAAATATATTCACACTTCTGAATTTAATTAATTACTTTAACTGTACATTTAGTATTTATTTGTTATGTTCTTCGTCGACTGATAGTTCACGTTCACATTGTTGATCGAAATGCTACATATACTCTGTGTGTTTTGTTATTAATTTTGATGTTCATCAGTTGAATTATTTGATTCTATGATTAAAATCTATCGAGTAAACTGATACATTTAAAATTAGTTGTAATATGGAAAATGAAATATATAGAACTGATAGCTGTTGCTCTACCCTATCTAAAACAATCAAATTCTAAATATCTTACAACTTAGTAACTCAGTAACGTCATTATACATGACTCGAAATAGAAGCCAAGAGGGATCCTGCTGTATTTTTCTGATGCAATCTTCAAAAAAGTCAAATGAACCTGTAGAAGTGAATAAGATTTTCTTTGGTTTTATATTTCTAACTTTTATCTCTTAATAGATATTATTCGTTGACTGTCTGGATTTTCTCTCGTCTATTTCCTTCACAATATTATTCATCCTACTTTTATGTAGCACATTCATATTGTCATCTTATAGTACCAGAAGATTTTAAATGTTATGGATAAATGAATAGTAAAATATTTAAAACTTATGCTAGTCTATGTAGGATAACAGCTAAGAAAAAGAATGGGTTGAGATTTATCGTGTGTTGTCTTAAACATATTAAATGTTTCCCTTCTGAATTAGTGTCTTGTACTTATTGAAGCTCATCAACAAAGCACTTCTGTTGGCTAGAGGTAATTCATATTACCTCAAAGATTCCAATTCACTCCACATAGAAGTCTAGTTAAGTATGTACTACATTCAGTAGATACTATAGTCGATTGTTCAATCAGAAAGTGATTTATCGAATCGTTGTATATTCATTCCCCTTATTGTACTTCAGTCGAAAATAAAAAAAGTAATAATGTGGTGTTTTTCTATTCATAGGTTTATTGTACCTTGGAGGGAGTCAGTTGTTCTCTCGGTGGAATGAAAAACTATCAATGAAAGCCTCATAGATGAATCTATATAACATTTCGTCTTTTGTAATGTTATTTTACTTCGAAAAAAGCGTAGTTTCGTTATTCAACATTATTTTTGTTAAAATTAACCACGTTACGTAATTTTTTTGAGTAAGTGTATCCATTATTATCATACGAGACTTTCGATTAATATAACTGTCACATATATCTAGATGAATATTTGTCAATATTTGAACGCCTAGTGTTATGGTCCATGTCTAGACAGAATGCAGTTTATGTCGTAATAGATCATGTAGAGTAACGTAACTGAGGAGAGTTGGTACAGGGAAAATAGAAGAAAAGGTATGCTGACGATCCTTCGAGCACATAAAATGTATTTACGTCTAATAAGAAAAACCATAGGCAACAATCATTAATAACACAAAACTCAGATTAAGAAAATCTAGAAATCGAAACTAGGAACAGATAATTTATACAAATATTGGTCAATATTTGAACGAATAGTTTGATATAATTTGAGTGTCAAGCATAGACAAGGTATTATTTATGTAAATTATATTTTAATTTATCACAGCCATTGAAATTTAAATTATTCCAACTGATCGTCCAGAAAGCTTGTTTGGACTAAGAACTAAGTAATAAAAAAAATCGAAATTATCAAGGACTAAATGAAGTTTTCAAGATGAAAATTTTATCCAATCATCTCATAAGATATGAAATATGTGAAACAGAATGGATGTACTTGCGTATGTGCCTTTATGTTGTGAATAAATAAAATCTCTACCTACCATCATAGTCATGTTAATTGTTTTTGTTTATTATAAATTAACAGTACAAATGAAAAATTTAAATCATCAAAGTTTATGTAGAATGAGAAAATTTAATTGAGTAGTTGTGATGTTTAACATTCAAAAATATTTTCTTTGTTTAAAACAAATTACTAATAATATAAATTGAGTAGATAATAATCAAGTTCGGTTATTCGTTAATTAGCATTTGACAATCGGTAACTAATTGAATTACATCTTATGTGTTTAGGCTGTTTTGATTAGTTTACATTCACAGTGATTCTACAGTTATTTTTTCTTTCTGTATGTCAAACCCTTCCTGTAGTATTTTGACTACTTTAAAGTTGATTTTGTGTCCTGTTGCTAATGGATGAAGTGCTATTGCTGATCTATTCTCAAGCTTATCGAGGTCAACTGGACATCGGAGAACATGTTTCGAATATTGTTCGTGTTTTTTAAACTGTATGTCCAGCTGCCTAGATGTTTCTCCCATATATGCTACATCGCATTCATGACAATTGATCTCATGGACAAGATTTTATTGTTCTTACTTTGGTGACATCTTTAACTTCGATGAACACCGACCTTATGGTATCACTAGTCCGCAAACAAACTTTTATTACGATTATGTCGGTATAGAGATTGTTGAATTTCATTGAAATCATGAACCGATCTAAGTTAGACCACAACTGAAGACACGGAAGCATAGAATAACTCAGTAGTGTGCATCCACGATCCCGCTCGTAGGAATCGGACAAAGGAAGTCTGATCTCGCGCGCGAACTGTTTACCTGTAGACAACTAAGCTGATAAACAACGGTGTTATTATCTAACTTTAATCAGTCCAGGATACTGCGCGACCATCTCCCAATGTCTTCAGTGGGTAACTGCTTCACATCTGACACGGTTTGGCCCCACCGGTCACGGCTTCTCTCTGTTAATTCGGAGATTTCCTCTCTATATTAGTCACTAGTGAGCACATGATGATTTTCAATATTGGGTTGTGGAGATTGTTAAACTTCGTTGTATTAAGGCTATTGAGAACTGTCTTAGTTTCTTGCGATGTTTCGGCGAGACTATAATTTATTGACGAACCAATCAGACATAAGATAACGAGTCTTGGGCTTTGGTGCATAACTCACACATGCATATGGTTAAATAGCGTTTTGGCATTATAGTCGATGTCAGTTCGTGATGAAAACCCCAAATTTCATTCCTTATCATCAATTGTAAATCATAATTCTAATTCCTCACACTGGTTTATAACCCTCACTTAGTCCTAGTTAGAAGATGAACATTCTCAAGGTCACTCTGGCGTCGCTCAAAGGTCGTCCATAAATTATAGTTTCATCGATGTTTCTACACAGTGTGTGTTGACAGCAGATTTTTCTGTTGTCACCGGCTGCTTCTGCACTTATCTCTATTATCTCGCACCAGCGGTTACAATAACCCCAATGAAATAATTGCTTTATTCTACGGAATTTCATGCCCGTCTGTTAGATTTCTCAAAGTTAGAGTTCGAATCTGTTCATTAGACTGTGGATGTACGTTGTGTTTCTGAAAAGCGCATGATTATTCCAAGTTTGGATATGCTGTTGACATTATGTATGCGGTTTGACAAGAATGCTGAGGTAATATTAAACTCTTTAGTATCTTTTTGCAGTTTGATCTTCTACAACCTAGTCAGGGAAGTGATCATAAAGTCTCGGTGTAGCCTAGTGATATCTTCATTCTCACGTAAAGAAAGCTGCGTAGATGTTGAGATGTAATATTAGACACAATTTATAGATTTTCACAAGAGTTGGCTGGCTAACGATTACGGTTATCAGATGAATAATCCCAAACACTGACTTATTATTTTATAGGGAGGGACAAACTGATCATCCAATTGCCAATGAGCGATCATTCTAATCTATATATTCTCTAAAGCCGTATGATATGAGAGTATTTTGTGCATTTGCAGTATTGGATATGAGGACGCCAGTAACGTTTGTATTCCAATATGGTACTGGGTTCTTGGTGCTATGTTTTCTTCAATATAGGCGTTTCCAGGTGCCACATTTATTCTTTTTTGCTGCGGTTTTATCCGCTTGCTCTAACAATCACTTTGCGAATGTAGTATGTTTCCCAAATGCGATGTTGATACTCGATTTTAGGTAGTACTAAGTACACTACTGTATGAAATTTCAGTAGTCTGACCTCGAAAATTCACACAAAATTCCCCCGAAACCTTCAAGTAGTGCCATTAACTGGATGTTCTTTCCTTTATGCATCGAGGATTTGTTGCCTTCAGTGAATACGTTTGCTCCTAAACTGGTTTTAAAGTGAAAATTATTGTTAGTTTTTCGTGGTTTGTTTGTAACTCACCGCTTTGAGAACTTACGCACTGGATTACTAGGTGGAGCATATTCTGTATAAGCAACAGAGTAGCATCATTCAGAATCTCATACTAGGTGTGATTTATCTCCCCTAACGAAGATTCGCACAAGGTTTTCAGATTGAAATAGTCATATTTTATTTCCGTATGTCAAAATACGATTTAGTAAATATTCATTTTTCCAATTATGAAAATTGAATTGGTCAGGTATACACCTCAAATATAAGTGCTGACTAAGAATATCCTTGAGAAGTTTGTGTTGTGATCGATAACCAGCTAAAAATAGTCTGGTATTACTACAAAGGATTCTTCATGCAAACGCCTGCATAAACACAGGAATATATCAACAATGTAAAAAGTCATTCATGTTAACAACATGATCCATTTATTTTATTGAGCATTCTAGATGTGTAAATTCTATTTTTCAGTATGTACTCTGAGTTTAGTCAGTTGGACATATTGGTTAGTCTTGAGTTAATTAAAGTGTGAAGCGTTTACAAAAAGGGATATTTTACTGTTAATTGATCATCCGCACTTTGTTAAAAGATTGCTGAGTCGGAAGAATACACAGATCCACTGCCCGTTCCAGAAAATGAATTAACTTTTATAAATTTTGTAACACAACTTTCAGAATATATACATAGCTCTTGTTTATTTACAGGCGAAATTTACTAATTTATCAAAAAACTCTTGGTCATAATCAGCTACAAGAGTTTATCCTTTTATATAAAATCCTATTTATTAATCACAAATTCTGTTCTCATTTAGCTATTGGAATCAATCATACTATAGTGTAGTAAATTGCGTTACATTCTTCGAAAAACATTTTGTTTGTTTAGTTGACGTGCAACCAAAAACGTTTTAAGTTTTGTCGATTCAATATGAGATTTAACGTTTTAAGCTGATTTCCCTATGCGGTAAGATAATTAATACTATTTTATGAAATCAGCTAAACTGCTTGGTGTGGTGGTGAATGAAGATGACTATCGAACAGACCCAGTTGATACAATTAGCAGTTTGGAAGATATTCTCAAGAAATTATGCTGTTGAGAGTAAAGTGGTTTTCATAATCTTATAGTACGTCACTTACTAGTCATGGACACGAAGTGAAAGTAAGGAAAAACTAAGGATAACCGATAAAGAACCTAACTCTGTCTTATTAAAATACGCTGAATATAAGGCTTAAACCTTACCTCTGTATTACTGAAGAGTCAATGGTTAGCCTTCCGCTGCCTTGTCAACAGAAAACTAAACGCTTTAACATTGAATTTCATTTTCATTGTTCATTTAACCAGTATTACAGCCTAGAAAGTTGAACTTACATTTTTTTCGAAACCTCCTAGATTACACTCTAATCATGTGGAACAATAGTATCAATAAACAAGAGTCATTGAAGTGTCAGTATCGTTCATTCAGCAATTAGATTCACTTATGGAAAAAATGATACAAGCATATTTTTCTTTGAAATTCTTTCCAGAAGGTTGAACAGTTTCAAATAAGGAACTTATTCAGAATGAATACACGGACTAGTCAGTGTACGCGTCTCGACAGTTTTACGCCTCTTCGGTACAAAATAAATTTGATTAGATATTTCACTTTCGAAAAGTAACTAGAAGGTGATTTTTATTTATATGAGATTCAAATGTGAATAGAAAGCATCCGGAATTTATTTTTAAGGTTCATCATAGACGCAAATTTGATCAACCAAATATCAATGGTCTCAATCTTTAGCCTAATTTTAGCTGCTTTAAGCTAACTTCTCAAGTTGATTATTCAAAAGTGAATCTATATTTCAGTTAAATCATTGATACCTTTTAATTGTCTGAGGAAGAACTGTTACGACGACTAAACAATGTTCACTACACTAACTTACTAGTGAAGGATGTAGCGGTGAACTACATTTCGTTAAACATGCAAAAAGAACGTTTCATTCAATAGAAATGTGTACAAAAATAATTCATGTCTTTCTACGGTACAATATGTTTTTTTTAATAGAATAAGTAATGTACAAAACATTTCAGTGATTTACAGTTTTACATATTATTTGCGGGCTATTTGCTATAGACTTAAACATTTTATTAAAAAGTATCGTGTTAGATTGAACCGCATGTTGCTAAGCTACTCAACTTTCCGAAGATGTGAGAGTATGACTTCTAGTTCGTGAATTTTAACTGTATTTGTATAACATGGGAACATGCAAGATATTCAAAGTGGAAAAGATGTTCTTTATGAATAATCAACGGCCCTAATCCGTTATAGTGAGTTGGTAGGCTAGTGCATCAATATGTCATTTAGAATTTATATTGGTCGAATGTAGACGTATTTATTGAAATAGTTCGGTGTGCTGATATGTTAGAGATACCTGTCATGTTTTATTAATGAGGCGATGTTACCAAAATCTATATTGGCTTTGAAGACTATTGACTAAAAGTGCTTATTATCGTTGACGCTTTTCTAAAATAGTCGAAAATGAGGAGTCAGAAAAGTAGTTGTTTAACCTCATATTTAGGATCCGTCAAATCAATATAGCCGTTCTACAAACTTTCTAGCCCAAATCAAATAAGAGGTTTCTGAACGTCAAGAAAAAATGAGTTCTACGTTATCTTAGAAGGTAGTATCGTGGAAAGAATCAACGATCCATCATATAATAAAATACTTAAAACTGAAAACGAGAGTACCGTCTCAACGAATTTTGTAAAAGAACTGTGTCATGTAATAAAAGTCAATTATTTCAGGTCATTTGTAAGGAATTTTTTAATTCCTGTCTGTAATGTAATATGTTTTGCTGAACTTTTCCCATGCTAATTAAAATAATCAGTTGAAACAGAAATGATACTCATGGGAGGTTTCTTGGAATGAAGGATTTTGTGTGAAAACGTATGAATAAAGTAGAAGCGTATAAAAAAATCCGGTCTATCTCTTAAGGTTTAGACAATATAAGTTATAGAATTCCGGAATTAAAAGTCTGCTGTCGAATAAAGTGTAAATGAATAATAAAGTAATAAATCGTTACCTACTGAGTTGGTTGAGATGCTGATTACGAATGCCCAACCACTAGTGACTTCCGGTGTAGGAGTAGGCTGGACGAAGTTAGATGTTGCTTAATCATAAAAAAGCATCAGTTCATGAGTCTATTAGCTATTGAACTAAGAAATGTAGGTATGTGCAAACTTCTTGGGATTAGTTCTCGTGATTGTCATAACCAATAATTTTAGATGTTGGGTGATATCTTTCGAAATCTATCTCACTACAGCAGCTGTATTAACTTTGTGTCTTTCATTAGATCCAAAGTCCCGAATTCATAAACTCATCCTCTTTTAATAACCCATATATATGCTTTTGGATTTGGCTTGATAATTCCATCTCATTGTACTAATGTATTGTGACAATTTGAACTGATGCATATATGTTCCAGGTCCTACGTTGTATATGACTGACTGATTGATATTTCATATACTAATCTGTGATTTTATAAATGAAAAATCTATCTAACCTGTGTTGGTATTCTCATTCTTTTGTAAAATATTATAATTATCCCGAAAGTGCACATCAAAAAACTTGAAAATAGTGAAGCCATTTAGTCGGACAGCTATTATGTTAACTTTAAATGACTTCATTAAGTGACTCACTTAGTATACCGTAATCCTTAATGAATTCAGAATTAGATGGGAATGAATGAATGTTAGTAATCTGTTGGTACAATCTGCTATGTGGTAAATAATTACCTACCTTAGCTATGATATTGGAGATATACTGCTGTACGTAAATGAACTAAACAGCTTGAAACGACTTTTCAAAACCTAATCTTGATTGTCAACTTTACAGTTTGATTTTAATACTAACCACTTAGATGTTTCAATAACGAATGATAATTAAATATAAACGTAAGGTTAGCTTTTTTCAAAAAAAATGTGTAGCGAAGTATCCGTACAATTTATTTGACTACAATACAATGGTTATTAAGTCTTCAAAAATAAATGTTTAACCAGCCGTAAGAAACTGTTATCTGCATATTGTTATACTACTCTTCCTTTTACATAAATATTACGTTCTCTGGAAGATCGTTTGGGTATAATTAATTGATTGGAAGAATCTATTTTCTTCATAGTCAGTCGGAATTGTCCTTTTAAAGTATTTTAATAACTCACTATTCACCACTAAAATTTCATTGGTTCTTTGTGTTAAAACAAATTCTTTAGTGGCTTATATGAATCGTCGCTAAAATGGTACTCCATAATCTGGTATATAAAACATCAGGTGTATGATCGAGTCCAGATTATCAGAGCAAAGCAGATGGGGGGGAGTTAGTTACTTTTTAAAAGTTGTTATTTATAGCATCCATTTTTATATCAAGTACGATTACCATTAACAACAACGACGTGTAGTTAAATCTTAAATATTATAATTGGGTATGGTTCCCACTTCTTTTGAATAATATCAGCAATATATAAATATATACACTGACGGTTTAAAAGTTGTCAGTCAATATGTATTCTTACAAGATTATCTTATTTCTTTCAACACGCAATTCGACGATAATCAGAATGATCCACATGTTTTTGATCATAATCTAAGACTTCAAGATCACTGAAGTATGATATGAATAACATAAACAATATTGTATATCATGATTAGGACACATTTGACATGTGATGATTTAAAATCATACTGGGAAACGAATCCAACATCTGAAAATGACTGACGGAGTGCAAATTACATCTAGCTGACGAGTCCCATGTAGAACGAAATGGGCATCACGGATCCCACTGCTAGCCACATTCCATATATTCTATACTGACTTAACAACAATTTACTGATAAATTATTGATGGCTTTATTTACATTTGATAATCATGGTTTTAATTATTTCTGTGAAACCGCTAAAACCAGATTTTTAAATGAATCATTGGAGCTATTCAATTTCATTTACTGATATTTTCACAAATATTATTATGTATTTAATTGATTTTATGATCATCAAATGATTTTATCTTATTGATATCATCTATTCTTGCAAACAAATGGATCTAGAGAAGCATACAATTATGCAATTCGTCAATCGAAAACAGAGTTCTTGTTTCACAAAGCTGTATAGGGCACCATTTACCATAAGTTCTTAATCCCAATTATGTAAGACCAATGCAACTAACCAGTAACCTATTTATATAACTTTAAAGACCAGCTATGACAAGTTTAAACATTCAACAAATGTCTTTTTAGAACAAAGTATACGGGCAAATAATAATAATAATATTAAAATCCATTATCTAAAATGAAATACATTAATGATATTGTATTAACATTGTTACCAAACTATGTTTCATATTAGATTAAATACAACAATGATATTTACTACCACTCAAATGCAGTTTTTTTACTCATATTTCACTTATTTCTTCAATTACAACATTGTTGATTACTAAACATCATAGTCTTTTCCATCTAAAATATGTTTAGCCAGACACATGAAGTTAAATATTTTGATTGGTTAACTTGATCATATCGATTTAACAACCAGTTATGATTATGTCTATCGGTCTATGTATACAGAAGAAATAGGAAGAATATTAATATTAGAACCAAAGGAATAAACTTTGTTTACTATTTATTACTTGATAAACATATAACATTAACTAAGATATCACGTGTAATACAGTTTCATTGAATTATTTTATTTTTGGGCGAAACTATGACTAATTATCACAAGAATGTGGGTATCCAACCATTGAAAACATTTTTAGCTCGTGCAATCTATGATAATCTATCGGAAAATCCAACAGAATTAAATTTTTCACGTGGTGATTTAATCACAGTATTGGATAGAAATCCATCTGGTTTAAATGGTTGGTGGATATGTAGTATTCGTGGTCAATTAGGAATTGCACCGGGTAATCGTCTAGAACTATTAGGCCTTATAAATGTAAGTAACATTTTATCTATATAATTTCATTAGTTTAAAATACATTGTCTATCTGAGTTTAACTTTTGCAAATCATTTAATTGATAAATCAAAGAGACAGCGTATCGGTACTTGAAGTATCAATGTTTTTTCATGTGTAAATTTACACACTTGGTTCCTCTTTTAGATGAACTAGTTAGACAAAACCATAACTGTGACACAATAAAAGTGCTTTATAAGTGTACTTGTTTTACGTTACTTCAGATTCTCCAATTTTATATGAAACAGTTTTAGTGTGTTCGTCCATCATTAAAACAATTGCAGTAATGGTTTTTTATTATATCATTACTTGTGGTCATATTACTGGCACGGACTTTAAGGTTAAGTATCTCCTGTAAATTTGGGCAACATCATTGATGAACACGGTGGATCTGATGCAGATGTGAAAGCGCGGATCGGCAACTCAAGAGCAGTGTATTTACAGCTGAAGGAAATCTGGAACTAAAAACAACTATCAACCAACACCAAAGTCAGAATTTTCAATATAAATGTCAAGACAGTTCTACTGTATGGGGCGGAAACTTGGAGAATTAGAAAGCCGTCATCCAGAAGATGCAAGTGTTTATTAACAGTTGTCTACGCAAAATACTTCAGATCCATTGGCCGGGCACTATCAGCAACAACGTACTGTGGAAGAGAACAAACCAGATTCTAGTGGAGGAAGAATTCAGGAAGAAGTGCTGGAAGTGGATAGGACACACATTGAGGCAAGCACTCACTCGGAATCCTCAAGGCCAAAGGAGGAAAGGATGACCAAAAAACACATAACGCCGAGAAATGGAGATAGACATGAGAAAAATGAACAAGAATTGGATGGAATTAGAAAGGAAGGCCCAGGACAGAGTGGGCTGTAGAATGCTGGTCGGCGGCCTATGCTCCATTGGGAGTAACAGGCGTAAGTAAGTATTTGTTGTAAATAAAAATAAATTTTACTTTAGTTCACACTCGTTAACTATAGTGCTCCCTATCAGCCAGGATTCAGCATAAGACACAATTGCACAAGCATGTATAAAAAAGGACTTCGGATATCTCGTATTTTCTCAAGTCGATAAAATGCACTTAGAATTCAAATGGACTAAAATCCAGATTCTGTCATCTTAAGACTGGTAGATTGCTAAGGAATTCTAGATTTTCCTCAGTACCTGTTTGAGTAGAAGTAAAACTTTAAAGTTTGTAGTGAATTAGTTTCGTGAAAATATATACCCGTCTGCCTAAATGAACTCATTTTTCCCACTACTATTGGCCTTCATCGTAAAATTATGTGGCGATTGTTTTCACTGTTTCAATTCGCTAAATTTGACTAGTGTCAGTCAAGATTTTTAACATAATAAATAGTCGGGAATGTGGTTTGTTGTTCTTATGTCTATTATGTTTTCGTTAAATAGTACCTCGCTATGTCACTCAAAGGTGTTAATATAATAGCGTCTAAACTATAGTTCAACCAAATATTATTTCATTACAATGATTGAGCGAAATTCTGTTTGTTCAAAACCGATATCTATACACTCAACTATACTTAGTCAATTATTTTCACGAGACTCTAGAGTTGACGACAGAGTTCGTTACTAATTATAATATTCACACTTCTTGTCATTATTGTCACCAGTTGAGCATCTAGTAGTAACAATATATTATTTATTCATTATAACTGATAACTAGCATGTAGTCTCGAATCATTTATTATGAGGAATGCTTACAACATATTATTGCACTTTGTAGAAAACAGAACAACCGACCCTTTCATTAGGAAGTTTTAGATGATTTTGATCATTTCTGTGGTATATATTAAAAATTACTTACGTTAATAATGAGATTTGTCAACTTATATATACATATAAAAACTTCCTTTTGACTTCTGTTGGTTTGTTGATTGTTTGTTACCCCATTACTTCAACTAAACAGATGGCGTTGAATGACCATCTTATTTGTTGAATCTTCAAAAATACAAATACTTAAATTGTATTGGGTTTCATGTGATCCGGGATCATATTATCGGAGTTGTAATATGTTTTTTGTATATTCTGTGTATGTAGAACAAAGTTAATTGCACAGGTAAATGTGTGAACCTATCGCCATTTGTCTTCTCCATTATTATCTTTGACGCTTGTCATATTGGAATATAACGGAAATTCTCTATTCAGCCATCAATCATTCAAGTATACTTTCATCTGTGTTGAGGATGTAAGTTTGAGGGAGGATGGCGCCTGTGTCAAATCAAATTTTGTCTTAACCCCTTATTATTTTTCAGACAATTCGAATTTCACTTTATGTGCAGCGGTTCTGCTATGAAACGTTCTTTGTGATTTTAAAAGTGTTTCTGAATAATTTCAATATTATCGAAGTCAATCTTGTAGCCTGATATTATAGGATGTAGACTTATGGTCTAAGATTTTCCAAGTTCTTTTGGATTTTTTGTTAGTCAAACAGAAACACCACCATATTCATCTATGTTGACCTTTACTTCCCGAGAAGTTTTTTTGATGTATGTTGAGTCACGTCCCGAAAGTTTTGTTTTATTGACACAATCAAATTACAAATCTTTTGGTATTTTATCTTTCACATAGACTGGATTCAATTTTAATGTGTCTGATGTCTTAAATAATACCCTGATGTTGCATATATTGAGTACCCATTTGATCCCTGCTATGTGTAATTTGTATAAAACAACGACTCTTGTGTTTCATGATATTGGTGTAAATTTTCATTTACGTTTATTATAGTTTTCTATTTATTAGACAAAATTTTCAGAAGGTTATTTATTTTAAGAATTTTGGTTATGTTCGTTAGTTAATACCCGTGTCCTTTTAATAAAACTGGAGAGAAATGATACGTCTACAATAATGGATTTTGAGGATGTCCTCTGATGGCATCTAATTAGGCAATGATAGAAGGTAATTCACTATTGTCTGATTCTGAAGTAAATTTGATATAGGGCAACTCATCGTTTAGTTTCTCCGTAAATGAGTAGTGGATTTTCGAAATCCACAACTGATTTTAACAGAAGTGAAAGCTTGTATATGTTTAGTTGACCGTAGATTCTTTAAGATATAGAGAATTTCGGCTTTAGTTTAAACCATATGGAAGTTTTTATTTTTGGTCTCAATTCTTGAGGAAATCTGTTTGTGCTGAGTCTTACCTTGCTAATTTTGTCGAACTTTTTGTTTTCTTCAGTAAGTAAATATAATCCATTGATTAAGTGTTCAAATGACTTCTCCTCATAATGAGTTTTGTTTGTAATTACAGTTATTTTCCCTTTACTGACTTTAGTTTTCACAGTGATTTTGTCGTCTCTTAAGTTTTAAAGAGCTTTATACTTCCTATTTGGTGATATCAGAATTTATTTTTCGTTTGTTCATTAGAATATGTAATATTTTTTATGCCAGTAATGTGAGAACAGGTTTGATGATCGATTTTGTTTTCAAACCCCTAATGGCTGTTGTGTAATATTTTCGGTTAATATCTTGTCCGATATGTTATCTATTGTTTTAAAATTGTTCTTTTCATTTGTTGAGGTGTTCTTTGGATTTTCAATCCCTTTAATTTTATGAATTCCTCTACTTATCAGATTTTTCGAATATTGTGAAAATGTAATTTCAGTTCTTCAACTAAATTCTGAATGGATTCAGATGTATAAGGTTTATTAATCTTTGATATACATACATTAGTATGAGTATGCTTGAGCCATAAATATTATTATGCTGAAGGCAAGAAAAGTTCCTATACAACATTGATTTCTTTTTTGTGTATACTGTTAAAATCCTGATAGTGACTAAATCTTATCACAAAGGCTTAAAATAGCTAAGATTTAAAAACATTTCAAAGATTATGTTCTTAAATGTTTCAGTTGAAGAAAATTCGGCGAGACTATAATTTATGGACGAGCCAGTCAGAAGCGTTGCAGGGAATCCAAGGCCATGGCGCCAATTTCAGTACCTGATACTCACGTACGATCGGTTCATAGCGGATTTTAGAGAAAACGTGATAATTAACCGACTACAATAGATGGGACTATTAAAAAGTTCCTTTATTTGTTATTGTGGTAATAAAATAACTTGTGGACCTTGTGTGATGATGTTGTCTTTCGATGTAATATGTGTTGGAGGAAGATTTCTGCTAAAATAGGATTTTTTCGCTCTATCCAGATTAGGACTAAGGTAAATTATGACAGTTCTTGCGAACTGGATAATAAAAGCACCAAAGACACTGGCTGCTACCGGGTACAACAATATATACGGATGATTGAAGAGCGTACAGATGGCTACATGAACTTGTTGATATGCATCGTGTCGTTATTCACAAGTGGTATTTTATAGACCCAACAACCGGAGTGCAAACAAAAAATAAAGATGCTTTGTGGTCGAGGCTGAAAGAGGTTTTGCGACTTTATCATAGCTCCAGAGACCGACTATTACGGAGCCATATGGATGATTTCCTCTACTGTATTCATGACGTTTTTCAAACCTCTGAACCTCCCTCTAACCTTGACAAGTTTTGAACCATGTAAAAGTGTATCCACTTTAATTCTTTGGTTATGTCTAATATATTTTTACTCTATACTGACTGTTTCTGATTGGCTGATATTTCTCAAGGTCACATGAGATTCATTCAGAGGCAGTCCATAAATTATAGTCTCGTCGAAAATTCTAATGTACTTCATCAGTTTATCATAATTTTGATCAGCTTCAATCTTGTGATATCCGTAAATATTGAATAACATGACAATGGAGTTCGTACTGGTTATTCTGGTCTAGAATTGTACTTCAGTCTGAGTAGAAGAAAAATACTTAAAATAGAAACGGTTACATTAAGAAATATCTTGAATATTCTATTAAAATAAATAACTCTAATCTACATTGCTATCGATTACAAACCAAAACTGGTTCAGTTATATATGTTCATTAAAACAAATTGTCAATATTCTATTAAGAGATATTGTAGTGAACAAGAACACCAGTGGGGAC